GCATGTAAAAAAGCACACAGAAAACATTAACAAGGAAGGCATTGTGGAATTCAGTTCCAAGGCTATTTTGGTCAATCATAATATATACCCAACCCTGCTAATTATTCAAGGGCTAGAGAAAATGAAAAGTGCACATATACTATTTTCATTTTCTCTGTTTTCTTTTTCTGGGGTGGGGTGGGTGGGTAGGGAAAGGGTGGGTTGGGGAAGGTATGATGGTTTTGGGGATAGCAATACCGGCAAAATTACCTAACACAAGCAACGCAAATTGTCACCTAGCATATATCCCCGACTAACCTCCATGGCAAATTGCAAATTTAAAGAAATGAAACCAACTTATAGCATTATTCATATGTTTAGCTTCTTTATCCTTAGCCCTAACTCATAAGCATCGCATGCATGTTAGTGACACTGTCACCTCAACAATACATGATTTTGAAGAATGTACATCGGAACGTTTCACCTTACTTGCCAGTATAACAGCTCTAAATAAATTTCTATATTAGGAAAAGAAACAACCTCCAATCACACATGGACAATAAAATTTCCAACCTCATCATTAAAATCTTTTTTATCTTTAATTATTATTGAATTGCATTTCCATATCGAGGGCCAGAAGTATTGGTTACTAAGCTTATAAAAAAATTATCTACTAATAAAATTTATTTACTTATTAATTACCAACAATTGCACAATGAGATCTAAATACACCCAATAGCATATAAACACCTTAAACTTCATAAATGGAACATATAAGTATATCCACAATTCATATTCTTAATGCTAACTTATCCAAAAACTAAGTAGATAATTAGTAACATACCATATCATTAGAAGCAAGGCCGCTGCCATTGTTGGCAGCGAACCTCCAAGCCAGTGTCGCCGCCAGCTTTGCTTTTTACTGCACGATTCGCTGAATCTAAAAAAACCTTAGCCGCTCTCCAGATCCAGCAATATGCGTCTTCAATACATTAAAATCTCCTGCAAACAGTTAAAAGTTAAGTTAAATAAGAACATACGTATCACGTAAATCCAGATCAAGCAAAAATCTTTATAATTCAAAACTAATTTGATCTCAAAAGAACAATTAGCACCAATGCATCTAATACTAGTAAACTAAAACTAAAGAAACAAGTAGAGCAATAGATCACATTTCCAATACACTGATTTTCCATTAACTTTCCTTGTCAGTTTTCTCGGGAAACAAACAGACAATGAACACAGAAACACATAGAAACTAAATTAAAATATCTCCACTAAAACAAGCTGAATTTTACCAAAATGAAAGTCAGTAAACAGCAGATCGAAATCCGATTAAAGAAGGAAAACAAAAAGAGAAAAAAAATTAAGTGGAACTGTGAATTACCGAATTGAATGAAGTGAACTCGAGGAGCTTAGATTTGGAAGAAACGACAGCGGATCATGAATGTCGAAGAGCATTAAAAAAGAAGAAAAGGAAGAAAAAAAAAAGAAATGTAGATGGAAAGAAAGAGAGAGAGAGAAGCAAACCTTAAAGAAAGAGAAAGAGGAATGAACAAGCAGAGCTCCGGTCTTTAGTTTAAGTGCATCTATGACTAAGGAGAAAGATAATAAGGAAGAAAATTGATTTTTTTTTTTTTGAGAGAGGAAATGTGATAATAATAATAATCAAATAATGGAGGTTTTTTTTTTTTTTTTTTGGGTTTTCCTTCTTTTCTCCCTGTATTTACGTTTTTTTTCTGAGAGAGAAAAGAAAGATGTGAAGGTAGGGGCTTTGTTCTCAGTTCACAGCCGACGCACTCACTGGACCACCGACAATTTGAAAGCTCCTACTTCTCTCAGCTCGGCTTGGCTTTTACCGATTGAGGCTCGGCTTTTCTAAAATTCCAAAAAAAAAAACCGAATTGATCACGAGCATCATCATATAAGTTAATTAATATATGCTTTATTTTATAGTTTAATATTTACGGGATCACCATTAAACAAATATATTTGATTTTGTAAGAGATAAAATTTTAAAGCGAAAATATTTTTAATTCTCTTTTGTAATTCATTACAAATTTTTTAAATCCTTGAATACTAGAAAAAACATAAGATTGTATTTTTGAATAATTAATTATTTCATTTATTTATTCTTTTTTAAGATGATATGGTAAATATAACTTGAATTTAAAAATTAAAATAAATTTAGTTTTGAATGACATGACGATGATATCGATACAAAATATAATATTAAAGATGACATAATAAAATACGATCGTGATGTAACGAAATATGATATAAATAAAATATAATATAAAAAATAATATATCAAAATTTTATTTTTTTAAATATTTTTTATATTTAATTTTCAATGAAGAAAGTACCGCTAAGGTAAAAGAGTTGAAATTTACAAAATTCATAATTAATTTGTAAATTTACAAATTTTTTGGAAGTTAGAAAATAATAAATTACAAAAATTGAGATTAAAAAAAAAAGAAATGAAAACAGCTTCAAATTAGCCAAAGCCAAGCGGGAAAGCTGTTTCTGAGTGTGGCTCTCTTTCTCTCTCTTAGTTGGCTGGAAATGGCTGTTTATTGTCGTATTGGTAGAGGGCAATTGGAACTGTGGACAGTAAGACACACCTAATAAGGATTCTTCCACGAATTAATTAATTAATTAATTACTAATAAATCCATGTTGTTCTAATACCACAGCATAATTCTGACTTCACTGACCAACATGCCCTCAAGGCCTTACCTAATCAACATCCAAGCCGGTCCTTAACAATTTTAACTACCTAGTTAACTCCTGTAATTTAGGGTTTTTGTTTTACATTTTTTTGCCTGGTATTAAACAAGGAAGATGATAAAAAAAGTTAAAACTGTAATGATCTTACCAATCTGAATAAGACATAAACTTCTTTTTATTTTTATTTATTGTCACAAGTAAATATTTATTTTTTATTATTTTTATAAAATAATTATATATAAATGTAAATATTAAACAACTAAAACTTTGTAATAATAATTTATAAATTTATTCGATATTATCAGAATTAAAAAAATTAATGACATATACTCAATACAAGTTAAAATTTTTATTTATAAATTTGATAAATTTTATTAATATTTATAAATAAAAAAATTAAATTTTAAAAACAAATGTTTTTATAGAATACTGTTTAACATATAAATAATGAATCTATAATTTATTCAATTATTAGTAAACTTAAGAAAACTATTTTCTCAATAAAAATCATTCAATGCAATTACATTTCTTATTTACAAATTGAATAAATTTTATTAATATCTATAATAAAAAAATTGAATTTCAATTCTTGCGTGGTACAATTACATGCAATTGTACAACAATTATAAATTAAAAGTGATTTAAAATAACAAATTACAATTTATAAATATAATGAATAAAAATATTTATTTTCCCAATTAATAGTCTAAGTTAAGCATATGGATTCTGCGGGGCTGAATAGATTGGGGTATGCAACACATTGGCAAGTGGTCCACATGAACTGCACCGTTAAGAGGACTTATACGACGACTTGAATGCATGAAGAAATTAAGGTGAAATTGTATTCGTAATTATGCTCTTATACTAATATATAGTTTACCATAGACAGTAATCTCGGGGCAGGCGAAGAAAGGACACTGAGTAAAAGCAAAGATTAAAAAAGAAGCGGCTCACAACTCATTCAGAAAAGGGTTATTCCCTAAGCCAGAACACAGAGACAGGACCTCACCAGTCGCAAATCAGTCCCTGTTGCAAGCTTAATTGTAAAGCCAAAATCAGACTCTTCTTCCTTTTCATAATTATTATTATTATTGTGTAGATCTGATGGGGGGTCCTGAAAGAATGATTGGGACTTTATAACAGCCATTAAAATAGTTTACTTGTGGGAATATGAAAATCATAGCTGAAATCGGTTGAGTTGTAGCCTCATTTGGGGCCCCTTAATTATATATTAATATTTTAAGCCTAATGTTGTTTAATATTTTCGTGGAAGTCGATTTCCTACCGCTCATGATTGAGACTCGAAACTCATACAACCCCAAAACAATGAAATTTAATGAAGACTGTAATCCCATCATTTTCCATATCAGTTGTTTTTTCCCAAATTTCAGGTTAGTTAGGACTTCACCAGGGCCTTTGTTTCTTCAACTGCAATTTTCTTCCTTTCTGAAAATCGTTGATGCATTAGGGCCCTCATGCTGTCTAGCTACTTAGACAATCAATTTCTCTAATTTATGGCAGTGCTGAAAACTTTAAGGAAATAAATAAATAATATTAAAATGAATAATAATATTAAAACAGAAAAAAAAAGCACCCCACGTTTTGGAATCTGGAACCACATTGAAAGAGAATAATTCACTCCCAATTAAATAACAATGCAGCATGTGTATTGTTTAACTATTTTCTTCGAATTTAAATTTCAGAGGAAGGATAAAAGGACATCTGCTGGCTTTACCTTGTCAGTATATTTAATAATTATATTTTTATTAACTAAATTCTTCGGTCAGTGTATAAAATATTAAATTCCTTTTTTTTTTGCCTCTTCTCTATTAGCTTTTCCTCGTCATTTTTGACTAACACAACATTGATAATCAGAGCTCAACAACCAACACCCACAGGGTATCTGGATCATAATACACAATGAGCACAAACATTGAAACTAATAATCAATTCAGTAAGTTAATAACCATTTTTTTTGGGGCCGATTTAATAAATAAAATCCGAATTAGTTGATAGGTAAATATCTTGTACGTAAAGAAAACTGAAAATTCCCCTTGCGGGGTGGTTGCAATGACCATTCTCATCACAGCAATGCAATATTCTGAATCCGTTTTAGGCTGTTATAAGATTAAGATGAATATTATCTATGCCAATTCAACTGGCAACAAGTAACTCTGAATATTGAAAACTGCAAGAAGTTGAGAACAATACGTTGAAGACAATGATACATCAACATGACAACATCATCCATACAAACTTCCGAAGAGATCGCTCTATGTTAAACACTGGTGTTTGCAATAATCTTAAGTTTATTCCAACATGAAGGCCTATTAACAGTATTTTTGAACAGAAAGAAATATGGACCTTTTCAGTGAAGAAAAACAAAATTTTTATTTGGAGGATCATGAACAATCTTACACAATATAGAGGAAGCAGACCCTTCTGTTATATAGGTTGCCCAAAAGCAAGAAGACCATTCAGCTTACTGTGTATATTGGCTAGGAAAGTAAGAAAAAGCCTTTAGCTTAACCACTAATTCAATGAGGTCTGTAAGTTCCATACCCAAGGCATTGTTGGAGCCAAAAATTCAGGACCCGAGATTAGGTAAGACTGACGCAGGTAGCATATGATTGAAGTACAGTTAAAGCTTGCTCTGTGATGGCTCTATTCCTCACCCTTTCCACCCAATCACCAACTATCTCCTCGGCTTGGCTACCTTTGACACCTTGCTCAAGGGCGGCTGCTGCTTCAGCAAGCTTCCCTTCGGCCAGGTAATCATCAACTGTACTGATTACAGACTCAATCCCTTCACCAGAATGGTCAACTTCTTTCACCTATATGATAGTCAAAGGCAAGCGTCAGATTATTTGAGCAACCCGGATCAATTCTTTATGTAGAAGGTAAATGCCATTTTTTATACCTTTAACCAGGTTGCAATATGTGCTAAAGAATGCGTCAAGATGCCACCACCTCCAGGTGGAATTAGGCTGAAGTGCCTTAGGGTCCCTTTCAAGGCATTAAACTGCACAAAGAACATATGTCAAACAGTAATCTAAGAAAATTTCTTTCAATGTTATGACTCATTATCTGTTAGATTAGTGAATTGCTAATGATTCAATGGAACTATCAAGCATCACAGCTTACAAACAACAACATAGGTGAGGCTGAAAAAACTTGAAACACTATCATATCTATTACCAAATTTTAGCAACTCTTGCAGTAATCCCGTAAATCTTCAAACTAGACTCATAAAAACTGCTTAAAAGAAAGCTCACACTTTCTCCCAGTCTCCATGCTATAGCTAAGGTGCCAGTGACAAGATAACATGGGAATTTCTGCCAGAACACTGATTTGCTGATTCCACTTAGACGCCTGATGTTCTAATTTCAGCTCACTAAGGCATTTATTTAAAGAAGAAATAAACACCATTTTTGCTACAGCTGAGACAATTTATACCAGGCTGTTGGTCATGTAGTACATAATGAAGACTAATACTTCCTTTTCCTGTACATAATTAGACCAACTATGAAAAAGAAGAAAAAATGCAAAAGCATTTCTTGACAAGCTTGTCCTCATCATGTCCGACCGATTGGTTCAAACCAATCCTATCTCTATATAGTCCTCTAGCTTTCCAAGATTAGTCTCAATTCTCTAGCCATCATAAAATCTTTAAGTTCCATTCTGTATCAGGTTGAGAAGGTTCCCAATACAAATGGACCATTAACTCTGAAACAAGAAGAAAGCCTCCTTCTAGTTTGCTTTTAAACAAATATGGTATGCTTATAGGCTGACTCATCCCCGTATTATAGGAATAGCATTTAGGATACAGACTAAGTCTGAACTCAGACATTAAGCATGCATAAAAATGGTAAACGTAAATTACTTGCATGATTTCATCTATTGTCCTCTCCTCTATTTTTGGTTTAATTTTTTTATCCGGCTGATACTTAAATCAGTTCCCACCACCTTCCCATCTCAGCACCAAGACTCCCAGATGAAGAAAACAAGAAATTCTTATTGCTGTTACAGTGTATATATTCCCAATGAGCAGGTTCAACTAGAAGTCCCCCTCCTTGACCATCTAGAAGAAAATCTTAGAGCTTGAGTGCTCACCGAAGATTGAAGAAATTTTGGACTAAAAAAATCAGACCTTGGGAAATTTGATTGCCAACAAACCTACATATTCTTTATTTCTCAATGCAACATGACTACAAAGCCAATCCTAATTAAACAGGAAGCAATATTTGGTTAAAATAACGAGGAAGGTGAGAGATAGATGCGGACACAAAAGGGTGCCAAAGAGCATCTTTAGCTCAATTCATTTAGCATAGCAAGAAAATATTAATGTAACTCCAACGTTTGGATATAATTTTTCAAGTTAAAGACAATGAAAAAAAGAGGTAACATACCCTTACTCTCCTAAATTTTAATCGAAATTACACGAAAATTCATTAATTTTCGAAATGGACACTCCGCCTCAAAAAATATTTTCCATTGGACACGTAGATCCAGCCGTTAGTCAACCATTAGTATTTCCGTCAACTTGTTAATGTGGCAAAAGTAAAAAGATAATTTTACCCTTGATTAATTTTTATAATAATTATTATATAATTTTATTATTTTTAATTAATTAAAAAAAAGGGGTTCCCCATCTGGGAAGCACCGAAACTCACTCGGGGAGCCCAATCGGGGCTCCCAAGTGAGCACTAAATCTGGTGCTCCCCTCCTCGTCGGTGCTCCCCTTTCTTGGGGAGCTGGGGAGAGCCAATCGGTGCTCCCTTCTTTTTTTTTTTAATATAATAATAATTTTAAAATTATTAAAGAAAGAAAGGGCATTTTAGTTTTTTCACAATTTTTGTTAACGGTGTTTGCACCCTTGGGGCGGAGTGTCCATTTCGAAAACCAATGGACTTTTATATAATTTTGATCAAAACTTAAGAGAGTAAGGGTATTTTACCCAAAAAAAAAATCATAAAAGCAGTACTTGTTTTCTGCATGGATAGAGGCCTGTGGATGCTGCCACTGAAGGAAGAAAAGAGTGCACAAATTTATCAACAGCTAAAAAGGATGCATGCAAATGGTGCCAGGCGTATCCATCCTCACAGCTTTTAATTATAGAAAAAAACCAAGATTTTATATACTTTTAGCCTGCCTCTATAAAAGCACTTAAAATTCCAAACTTCCATTTTATGAAAAATACCATGTCAAAGTAAAGCATACAATTTTGGCATAGGATTCTGCAAAGCACAAACAATCAATAATTTAACCAAAAGATTTTATTAGGATAGATGTTATCATTGAAAAGGACTCAGAATTCAATAGCATATATCTCTAAAAGTACGAAACAACTTGCCTTTTGATTCAGCTCTAGTAGAGTGTCTGTTCCATGGTACCGAGTTTCTTCTGGAAGAGATGAAAGGACCAAATCTAATACTGAATCCTTCTCAATGCCTTCAAGGTAGGTGCGCAGAGCATCTATTTCTTTCTGGATTGGTAGTCCTTTAGAAAGTGCATCTTCTAGTGCAAGTGCTCCCTGCAGGACCCAAGAACAATCAAATTATGGCACAATAATGTACAAGTTGAGAAGAATTATTACCAAGACCATCAATCACTAAATTCACTAAATAACATAAGTCGGATTCAAACTAAAAGTAAAAATAACATGAGACTGAGAACAATAAAATAAGGAGAAAAAGTTACCAAAGCAAGCTTTTGAACAGAATGACTCTTACGTGCCTCTTCAGACCGTGCATAAAAAGCCATACATAAGGCGTTTATCTACAAAAAAAAAAAATTCAGGTGTGCTGAAGGGCTAAAAATATGCAATACTTATTGATTATGAAAATAATTACCCAAGCATATACAAAGCATAACAAATATATATTGCTCAACATCAGATTCATCTGAACAACTAACAAACAATAACTACTTCCAGAAATACATTTATGATTAATGCTTGTAACTGATCAACTATAAGTAGTTTCCTATTTACTAGACTCTCTTAACTAAGGTCATACTCACTCATCCTCCAATAATTTCTATGCTGATGCTTGGTTTGGTCCTTTATCAGAAACTATTCTAGCTTTCATTTTTTTCCCAGAAAACGTACTAGTTGAACTCTATTTTGGTTTCTGTGATGTTGGAAATTCTGTTTAGATTATCAATCAACACATTCCAGGAAACAATCAAATTCAGAAAATTTTAAATGGAAAAATCTTTAATTTTCCATTAGAAACAAAGTATGAAACCTGATACAACATTAAAATGGAAGCTAAAAGCATTGATGTATGACATTTGGATTGTCACTTTTTCCTGCATGATATATGCCCCAAAGTAAGAGCCAAGGGGTTTTACATTGCAACCTATCAAAAGAGAAAACTCTTTCAGCATAACTTTTAACTTTTCCTGTTCCACCTCTTATCAAACATCCATCAAATATGCCATGAAAAGCATTTTCTTTTTTAGTCCACTTTTTCATCCTAAAAATTAGCGAAGTTATTTTTTGTGAGGTTTCATATCCAAAAGTTTCCACCAAGAGATAGCTTACGTGAAGATTTGCTTCTGCCATTTTTTCAATCTGTGCTGCTTTCTCACTTGCAATTGCTGCAGCCAGTTCTGCTTTTCCTAACTCCTGAGCTTTTTGCAACTTCATTTCAGCTTCTCTTTCCTGAAATAAGCAAGAACTAACAACTTGAGTTCATGAGTTATGGAATTATGGTAAAGAATTCTTTGTTAGCATAAAACTATGTACCTTTTCTTCAATTTCCATCTTAAGTTTCTCTTCCATTTTTTCTTGAAGCGACTTTATAGCAGCTGCTGCTTTTGTTCTTTCTCTCTTTAATTCCTGAAAGTGGTAAAGTCAAATTCTCAGCAGCTTGAATCAGCAAAATAGAATAGTCATTTTTCTCTTTCTTTTAACTTGATTCTATTGCCCTTTGAAGGGCATATATGATTGTGAGTATATTCCAACTCTAACTAAACTGTAAATTTCCAAGCTCAAAATCCACAATACATAATACTTAAAAAAATAGCTTAAATTGATTATAAAAATATTGATGGAATTTCATTGACTAGCATAAAATTTATAGAAATTAATGGGATCAATTGTCCCAGTTTAATTCATAGTTTTTGGTTTTCCTTATGCCTTACAAACAAATCAATGTTATTCCAAACTGATATAAAGAACACTTCCCTCACCTTTTCATAGTACAGAGCACTTAAAACAGGAAAAATACAAATCTACAAAATACTATAAAAATTGGATGAACTCTAGCATGTGGGATAAATATTTTCTTTAAGTTGGTGAAATGCTAGAGCTTCACCTACCAATCACCACCTAGCATCTGCATTTCCATATCGTGTTTGGTGATCAAGCACTATAGCACCTCAACTTTTAATCAAATTTCTAAACCACATATTAATTGTTTGTGTTAGACACAGAGCACCAACCCACCCATTCTGCCTCCTATTTAGTCCTGGTGTAAAGATTCTACTGATAAAAAGACCAAGTGAATTCACCATAGATCTAAGCATGAACAGCAGCACAGAGCCATGACGGCTGTGACGACTATGTGGCAAATTAAAGAGAATGACATATGGGTTAGGAACCAAATTATCAAATGTTTGTCAACTTATAAAGTAGACAGTAGGACAAAATACCTCTTCTGGAGGAGTTCAGTAAAAGACAATAATTCACTTAATGACACAAAAAAGGATATAGTTCAAAAAGAAAGAAAGAAAGAAAAATTCAATTGTATTAAAGCGTTACAAATAAAAAAGAGAAAAATCAGAACACAGAAACCACCAAAAAAAAAAGAGAGATTGAAATGGGAAAAAAAACTACATTTTTCTTCTTTCATAAAAGACATGAAGAAAGATATTACTGTGGTGAGGAATCCAGGGAAGATCTTACCTTTCAGTTTTTAGTCTTTACATAGCAACAATAAAAGGAGAAAGAAAGGCACCATCACCAATGAAGAACTAGACCAAGCATTAGTGGTGCAAAAAAATTGTTTTTGAAAGACATCATAAAACAAGAATCTAAAATGAGCTATGACCTAAGTGATTAATTTGCAAAGCCAGAGCAAGGGTAAATAGGAAGTGAGGCATGAAAGAATCAGTCAATGGCATGTGAGTAAAAAACTAAATTTACCCCATAAGTATAGAACTGAGAAGCAATAACAAAAAGCTTGGTGATCAATCATGAGAAATATAACATAATAAAATGAATTAAAATATGAAAACAACTATAACCTTATCCAATATTGCTGCCTCTTCTGTACGCATTAGCTCCCTGGCTCTTAAATCCCTTAACTCCTTTTCATATTTCTCCTAAGAGAGAAAAAAAAAAGAAGAGAAAAAAAAGCATCAGCAAACAGTATGGCATGACCAAAATGATGTAGCAGAATTAAGAATCCAGATATTTTTACTAGAACCCATAGTTCAAACTTCTGACCTTCAACGCTCGTTTTTCTTCAGCAAAAGCATGTGCATCCAGCTCAGCTTGCCGCTTTTCAGCAGCATGAATGGCTTGTAGGAAATCAAAAATTAATTTTCCATCCTTGGATAAATATCCCTCATTCAGTTCCTCAATTGCTGTACCAAAAGCCTAATGTGTAAAAAAAATGAAATCTAGTGTTAGTTGACACTCTCCTTTATCATATGTATTAACCAAAAAATATGAGAGGTATATAACCTCTGTTTCTTTAGAAAGTTGCTCATATTTTCTGTTTAGAGAAGTTAAGTAGCTCTCATCTGCCTTTTCCCTAAGATGATATGCATCAAGAAGAGAACTTGGAGCTTCAATATCTTTACTTGGTTTATCCTGCAACAAAGGAACACCGGATGTGATTCTGTATCAAGTCTGATAAAAATAAGGAAGAAAGTATTTTTCACTATATATATAGAGATATAGAAATAAATAGATACATACATGCATACATACAAACACAAAGAACATGCTCTCAGTTGCGCTTTAGCCACCTCAATTCACAGTCTTCCCAATTATAAAAACAAAGACATAAAAGAAGCTTTAATCCTTCAGATGTTGCGACCGCTAGCCAGTTTCTTGGGGGATCAAACCTCCCTATAAATCCTTGCCTAGAAAATAAACAAGGAAATGCAGTGGGTCTTTGTCATCTTCAAGCATTAGCTATGTATTTACACATACAGTGGACAACCTCTAAATCATTAGCTTATACATTCACACATAGAATGGAGCAAGCCTCACAATCACACTTCTTGTTCTTTTTACAACCACAAGGCAGATACCAAAATTAAAAAAAAATTCAAACAAAGACAACGTGAACAATCATGGAGACAAGTAGAGTTTCAATAAGTTTCATTGACCCACCTTTACAGAATAAGAATGGTTCGTATAGCCATTTCAAGAGGTTACAAATCAGAAACAACTTAAATGAAGGGTGTTAAGAAGAAAAACCAATGAGAGGAACAAAGGATACCTCTGCTATGTCTGCTGTAGTAGGATGCAAAGATGGCACAGTTTTTATTTGACTTTCTTCAGGGGCTAAACTAGGCAATTCAACTCCTTTACTCAGTTCATCCTGCAAGAGACAAATATCATAAGTGGGCCATATTGAGCCTGTGCAGTATAATTATAACTTGATAAAGCTAGGTAGTAAGCATTGATTTTTAGGAATGCATAGCAAGGATAGAGAACAGGCTGGTAGTATTGTTACCACCTCATTTGACATTCTTCATTTATAAACGCATAAATACACAAGGGGCATGACATTCTTCATTTATAAATGCATAAACACACAAGGAGCATCAATATCTAGCAAGTTACAACAGAGAAACCAGTTTCTTTTAAACCCCATACAAAGCGGTACCCTACCCATAACGTTCTGAAACATTTCTTTATGCATCCATTCATTCTATTAAGAAAGACTGCTAGATTCCGAGGTTCAGGTAAATCATATAGAAAGAAAATATGAATGTGCATAAACACAGACATGACGTTCCAATGGTTTTTGTTGTGCAAACAAGCGACAATGGGCTAAGGCGTGTCATTGTCATAATTTGGGTTGCAGAGACGTGGGAATCAGTTAGAAATACTGTACTAACAATAACAAGGTAATCCATTATGTTTAGTTCATTTTTAAGTGCATCTGATCCACCTTCAACAGAATAGTAATGTCTTGCATATCAATTAGCAAAAAGATAGAATCCGGCATGGATGCTCGAGTATTCTTCAAATTTCATAACATCTATAAGCCCAAGAGATCACCATCAGCATAAATATAGGGCGCAGGGAAAAAATGTACCTGCTGTCTGTCTGCAGTAGCAGGAGTTGGGACAGTTTTTGTCTCCCCGTGGGATGCACTAGATTGGTTATCTACTGGAGTATCTTGAATTTCCTTGTTTGGTATCGTTGTAGTTTCAGACTCAACCTTTTTAAGATTCCCTTCAGATGATACAGCAGCATCCGCACTGTGATCAGCAGATGGAAAGCTGCTCGGAGAATATTCTGGTAATTCCTTTTCCGGGACAGGTTTCGTGTTTTCTCCATGTGTCTCATTCAATTTATCTTCCACATTAAATTGGATTTCTCCTTGGGTTTCACTAGTAGTTTCAGACTGAGGAGGAAGATCGATATGAGTTGGAACCTTTTGCTCGGGCAAGTCCATAGAAACAACTTGGATATCCTTCTCATCAAAACCAATTTTCTTCGAATCAATAGGAACCTTGGCGTTTTCACCAAGATATTGATCTAAGTACCCCGCTCGGTATGCAACCAAGACAGCACCACCATGATAGCACTTCCAAGGACAACTTTTGAAAGCCCCTGTTCGATTCAGGTGGACCAGGTTTCGGAATTGCATTTTTTCCAGGAGAGGTCGAAAATTCCTTTCCCGAATAAACAAACGGTGACGAGCGCTACATTTTCGCCATGCATTATAAACAGAAGAGTTATAAAGCATAGTACCCCGAACTCGAAATTGAATACTGAAACTTACAACAGTTAAATGTACCTGAGAAACAATCTGCCTTGGAGTTCTCCGAGGAGACCCCCGGCGATGTGATAATTGCAAAATCGACCTTCGCAGCATGCTGCCGGTTTTTTATTTTTCTTAATAGGATTTTGAATTTAAATTGCGGTGAAGGCGTTTGAGAAAATGGCTGGGAGGGAAGTGGGGTTTTAAAGGAGGCGTTGCTTCAGGGTTTGGACCGTTGCATTGAAACAAACTGTTTTCCGGTGAAGAACTTTTCGGGGCGTTTCGGTGGAGCGACGAATCACGATCGCTTTCCGGGAGGCGAGACGGCTGCCCAATGCGAATCGCCGTTGGGGGGGGGTGTGGCGGGGGACTTGGAACTTGGGAGTTGAAATTGTGTAGTGTCGTGCCACTGACAGCGTGGAACCATTGAGAAATTTACCCCCACATTACTCTCTTTTCTCTTTTTTATTTTTCCGTAAAACAGAAAAAAAATATTTCTATTTTCAGCTCAACTTCATCCTTTATTTTATTTTTATCTTTTAATTTTGCAATAAAAAAAGGAATAAAATTTACTGCATCCACTCTTAAATAAATAATTGAATATTGCTTTGGTCATTTAAGTATTTGTTTCCTTTTTATTTAATTTTGTGATATATTTTTATTGAACTAATGGTAAGCAATTACTTCCTCCTTTTGAAGTATGAACCAATTCAAGTGTAGGGAAAATAAATATTATGTATATATATTTTGGATTTGAGGCGTGATGATGGTTATTAGTTTGCCTATGATGCTCTTGTTTATTTTTTTTCTCCATTACCC